TTCACCAGCCATACGGTCGAGAAATGGCCCCAGCTTGAGACAAAGACAACACGTCAACCGGGAATTGGAAAAAATGTGAAGAGAAATAACGTACCCAAGCTTTCTGACAACACGATAGCGACCGTGCTTGAATGTATCACCGATCTTGACAGGAAGGTAACCTCCGACATTATAGTCTGCTGGGCTCTCCTCGTCCTTGCATGATGGTTCGTCAACGGGTAATATCTTTGGGCCCGTGGGAGTAACGACATATTGATACTTGAGGCAAGGCTGCTTGTGCGCCATCTACGGGATGGCTTGAGGAAGGGGTAGGGGACGGGGAGAGCGGGTGGAGGATATGAGGGAGAGGGGAGGAGAAGAGAAGCTCTGCCACAAGCTCGTATCGCTCGACCCCTGTGACAGACACTCCGTCACCCGTCACACCGGAGCAAATCGCCAATCGGTACACAGCCAGCCGTGGGTAACCAACAAACACCTCCCTATGTCCCACTCCTTATCTTGCCGCTCCAAACTCATATCATCTTCTCACCATCCCCCCCAGCGTCATCGGCTTTATAGGGGTTTCTCCTCGTCAATCTTCATTATCCACACAGATAACCCCAAAACCACGTTGGGCACACCACTACCCGCGATTACCACGAGGCACAATCCTAATCCAATTTCCTCCGAGCTTTAACTGCACGACAGTCAGCAGTCAACTCCAAAGCGCTATGAAACTTTACCTCTTTCTTCCTTGTTAGCTCCCCGAGGGCACATAGCGAGCGCCACCATCCCAGCCTCTTGTATTCCACGGATCTGCGACTCAACACGATTATGATCATTACACACCTTCTGCTTGCGCTGCCTGGTCCGGAACCTATGCGTTTAGCCAGTGGCTTTGTGAAACATGCCTCCGGTGGTCAAGACAGCTCTGGATATATCACAACTCCCGGCTTTCAATAGGTCGGGTATCACCCCTGTCTCTTTTTACCCCCCACAGTCCTTGGGGGGGGTGGAGGTCTATATCTCTCAGGGACTTTTTCATATTGAGTCCCAAACTGGGACTCTGCTTTCATAACACTGAGATGGACATCAGTGCTTACCTCCCCGGATCTTATCGCTGGCTTCTCCTATGAAAACTCACAAGGTTGGGAACAAGGTCTACATGCCTGGTCTAAATGAAACTCGTGAGCCTTCGTTATGTGTCGTGCGAACTTGACCTGCTCAGCCAGACAAGAATAGAGTGAAGCCAAAAAAAGATGGAGTAGTCTGGGAATATCCTGACTGTCGCTTGGTTGTGCCTGCGCTCGCTAAGGGGAACAGTTCCTTAGTACACGATTCCAAAGTACGTCTAACCTGACTGCGCCCTGACCCCAGGTTCCACAAACTACGCCATCGTCTTGGACTACTCTGGATTAAGTGAGAAAGAGCATCCGTAGCAACCTCATGCCCCGAGCAGATCGTGTGGTGAAGTGTCACTCTTCTTCCACTGTTTAATGTTGAACCGGCGGCAGCGGCAGAGATGTTCTTCTTATCTTCTGTGGGAGGACTCCAGTCGTTTAATAATGACAATAGATATATCAATTCAATATATTCCCATAGCTTAAAGCGACCGTCCGATTGTCGAATGGGACTTAGTTTCAGAGACTACGCGATGACGATGCTGGCACGACTCATGATCCGAGGTTAGACAACAACCACTCACCGACCCTGCCTGGAGACCTGAAGGCTGTCAGACCCCAGCAACCAGCAGAAGTTGTAGCATCAAGATGCCGATAAGTAGTCGAGGAATGAGAACGCAAAGCCCGACTGGGTATACAGAAGTCTAGAATGATATTTTTGTTGGTGGCGCAAGGTCATTTTTTCAGGCGCTGGGCTCATCGTGTATACTGTTTAAAATTAGCTTTATACTTAAATCTGGAAGGCGGCCCTCTGTACTTCCGGAGAGTGGACTGCTAAGATAAAAATAATCCCAGTGAGACTATGTGAATATACATAGGCTGGGCCGGGGGAGATGAAATAAAAGGGCGAGAAAGATTGGCCAGAGCCCAGCATCATCCTGATCCAGTCACCCATTCATTCAGAAGCACCTTGTGAGCGAAGCAAGATAAAAGTGCCTAGTGTTAAGAACGTCATTTGGAGTGGAGCTGAGCTTGCGAAATTCGGATGGCAGGCCCATACATTACTGTATATTGAATAAGTCGTGGCCTTCCTGAAAGGGCACACCAAGACATTTCCAATAAAGGGCAACTCAGTGAACATATGACAGGGAGACGCCGAATATTGCGACATAAAATCGCAGTTGTCTCTTAACCGGCACACCGGGGCCCCACAGCCACACAAAGCTTTATTTATCCTCAACCACAACCACCCGGCTCTTTTGTACCCACGTCTATCTTCTCTACGTTTAACTTCCTGATTTCCGAGGACCGCTCTCATTACAACATCAGGTCTTTTGCCCAAGCCGTCGTATATTAGCCCGTCTGAGGCTCCTATAATATGGCCTCGTCTCCGGAACCCCCGCTCGGTCCCCCCCAAGGGCCAGCTCCCTACGGTCTGACTTCTGGAAGCATGGTCGCGGTTCACAAAAAGTTCATCGGGGCTGTCAAAGACGAGTGGTCACTATACAGGTAAGTAATTGACACGCTTCAACTTTAAATCATCCTAACGAACGTGTCCCCAGCGACCGTGCCTCCGACTATACCATAGGTGAACCTATTGGATATGGCGCTTCCTCCAGTGTCTATACTGCTTCATATCAGCCTCCTCATGGTACACCCACGCCAGTTGCGCTCAAAGTCCTAGATCTTGATTCCCTCCCTCGCCGGTCGCTACAACTTCTGCAACGTGAAACGACATTGATGTCCCTTTCGAAACATCCCAACGTACTCCGGGTTCGCGGCTCCTGGGTTGACGGACATAAACTCTACATCGCTTTGCGCTTGATGAATAAGGGCAGCGCCGCAGACGTGATGCGATACGGGTGGCCTGGTGGAATGGAGGAGGATGTTGTTCGGTGTATATTACGACAGACCCTCCAGGGGCTCAAGTGAGCCTGTTCTCTCATTGAATCTCTGTACCTCTCCCTGACTACTTCTTCCACCTCACTCTGATAGCTACCTCCATATAAACGACTTCATACACCGCGATGTGAAGGCCGCTAACTTACTCATCGATGATGATGGTACCGTGCTCCTAGGAGATCTGGGTGTTGCCGCCGACCTGAGCGAAGACTCGTCTCACCATATGTTCTCGACGCCACAATCAGGAAAGACTTATACTATAACCGCAACAGCCGTCCTTGACCGGTCACAGGCGGGGCGCACGGCCGCTCCTGATGGATATGTCAAGTCCAGACCAAAGATTGGAAAGCGCAAGTCATTTGTCGGAACGGTGCGTATGCCCATGGGCACAACGAAGCGGGGAGCTTACGCGCGTCGTTTAGCCGTGTTGGATGGCGCCGGAGCTTATTGAAGGCAAACAATATGACTCCGCAGCTGACATCTGGAGTTTTGGCATCACTGCTCTAGAGCTTGCGCAAGGCCGTCCTCCGAGATCGAGGGAGTCACCTAAAGACGTCCTGCTACGAATGTAAGTAGACCCAGCTCCCACTAAAATGGGTTTTGAATCGCGTCTTCCAGTATCCGCGATAAACCTCCCACGTTGGATAGAGATAACGGGGTGCATAAATACTCCCGTGCCTTTAAGGAGATGGTTGACAGCTGTCTCGTGAAGGACCCTTACAAACGGTGCGCCCTTCTATCAGTCCTCTGTTGCCGGCGCCTGCTTACCAACCCAAAGTCCTACTGCCGAGCAACTGCTTCAAACACCGTTTTTTAAGGGCTCCAAGAAGAGGAGCTATCTAATTAATACGATTCTGAGTGAGCCACTACTGTGCCATATAATATATAGGCGATGTCTGACTTGCTTCAAAGAGGATCTACCCCCTTTGACGCGACGCCAGGAACGTCGTGCTGTACGCCACCCACCAACGTTTGCCACGGTCGATTCCTGGGACTTCACCTCTACCCTGCATTCGCCAACGAACAGTATTCACCACCGACGCAGGGCGTTTGAAGATGTCGCATCTCCCCTGATGAGGCAGGACAAGTCCGAAGAAGACTTCCATTCTGAACACGATAACCGTGATCTACGCGAAGCGCATCAACGTCATTCCACGTCTTCCTCTTCCGAAGGTAATACATCAACGGATGGAGCGGATGGAGGCATATCAACGCCACCAACGAATCCATCTTCCTTTACCGAGCCCTCATGTCCGATAATTCCAAAATCGGAACCTGACACCGAACCACTCTCGGCTTCCCAAAACGAGGGGTCGGTGAAACGAGGTTTTTGGTCACGGATCGCTTCGAACGTCAGGAGACCTAGCTCAAAAGGACTACCGCTATCTGCGACGGCCGATAATATTATTGAAAATGTCGTGGACGCAAGACGGGTGACGCCACACGCCCAATCGGCACAGGCCCGTCTGGAAACAAATAAGGGTCCTGATGGAAGTCTGGGAACGAGCTTAATGCAGACTCAACCGTCGAGAGGTATGGCAGTGAAATCCGGTACTGTTAATGGAGCCTCGAGGAAGCCCACGACGTCGAAAGGTAGTGCGGGTACCACGAACGGCGGTCTATTAGGCTTTGGGGCACGGAGGAATGATCCGGAGCCCAAGACCAAACGGCCAGGCTCCAGGGGAAGTATACTTGGTGGGATGGTTGGTGGGGCGAAAAATAAGTTTTCCAGCGGGTCATAACATCCTAGGAGAATATTTTATCGACAAATGGAGAGGAGTTGTGCCTATGTTTCGTCGGGCGACAACAGGGATTGCGAATACCTAGGATTAGATGTAATTTCTCAATTAATTTGTACAGTACCGTGGCCATGTGGTTTTATATTACAACAACCATCCCGCTTTGATATTCGTTTCTCCAGAGATATTTAGTGCTGAGATCAAAGGTTGCATCGATTAGGTTCCTGACCTATTTTATACTTCAATACCATAATTGTAATCCCTCTTAGCTCAGTTGGTAGAGCGCGTCACTAGTACTTATTCTGAATAAGGTGATGACGAGGTCAGTCGTTCAAGTCGGCTAGAGGGAATATTCTTTTGTCCCTCGCAATCAATCAAACCCGTAAGTATATCTATCTATACGTAACTCATTATATTCTCCTTTTTCTCTACTGCCCACCATGAGCGCTATGGAAACTGATGATACCTCTGTTGTTCTATCTTCCTCCACAACTTCTGGATTGTCTTTGTCCCTGTGAGCTCGCCACCTGCAATACAGGAGCCTCAGTATTGACCGCACACCACCTTCATCGCAGACACCCTCTTCCTATCCTAAACGTTTCAGAGCATCTCACGCGCCGGAAGCTACAGACTAACTCCAAAGATCCGTTTGGTACACTCGTTGTACTCTTTTTATCTCGTCTATGCTCATCCGGTCTTGCGATCATCAGTGCTCGGTGCTCTACTTGGCACACAGAATGGCCGTGAAGTGGAGATTGTGAACACTTTCGAACTTGCCGTGGAGGAGGATGGCGAATCAGTTGATCATGCTTTCCTCATATCTCGACGAGATCAATGTGCGTATCTACGCGGACACCACGTTGTTCCCCTCGCTCTGTTGACATTCGGATGACTGACGGCTGTGTCCTGGCTGGTCCACCGTTGTGTGGCGCGCCCTGTGATGGTTTCTAGATAAGCAGGTGTTCCCCTCATTGGAGTTTATTGGCTGGTACACAGTTGCGCTGCGTCCAACGCCCAAACACATTGCGCTGCACGAACAGGTATGTCTGCGATCCGCTGTGGTACTTATGCAGGCTACTAAATGTTGTGTATCTGGACTTCTAGTTCACCAACTACTGCTCTACCCCATTGCTCCTCGTTCTACAGCCCACACTCGCATTCGTCTCTAGCGCCGATGTGAATGCACAGACTCTCCCTTTCAAGGCTTTTGAACCTTCCATCGAGATTAAAGAGAGAACCTCGAGATCGGTGTTTATTGAGGTACCGTACAAGGTGGAAACAGGTGAAGCCGAACGTATTGCAGTGGATTGGACAGCCAAAGGAGGAGGTAGTGGCACCAGTCGTGAGTACTGTTGTTTTTGTTACTTTTGTACGTATATGTGTTGACAATACTGTTAGTGGACTCGCACCTTCAGACGCAAAGGTCAGCCGTCAAGATGCTCCATGAACGTATCTTGGTTCTAGTCAAGTACGTTACAGACGTCATCGCAGGTGTGTCTGGATACTGCGCTCCTTGATCATTCTATATTCGATTGATCTTTAGGCCAAGCCTCCAAGGATCACGCAACACTCCGTGCCTTGGCAGCTCTTGTCGCATCCCTGCCGGCCACAGAGAATAAAGCTTTCCGCCAGGAATTCAACACCGTAAGCCTCCGCAACGTTTTATGCGATCGATACACGCCCTATATGCGTTTATTACTAGGAATATGAAGATGTTCAACTTACGGCTTTCCTGTCTTCTCTCACCAAGTCTTCCAACATCCTGAATGACGTAAGTGCTCCTCTCTCAAAGTTGTGGGATCTTTGGAATCCGGATAGAATGTTAATGGACTTGTACTTTCTTTGTTTCAGTTGGTCGACAAGCATATTGTATTGACAGCTTCTCGTGATGATCGAAACCCACGAAGACGAAATGTGCCAGGAAGACAAGGCAGTAGTGCGGTCGATTGGCATTGAGCAGAACGTGTACAAGTAGAGGTCGACGAGAAATGTTGGACAACAGGATGAAACGCCTCGCCTATATCGCATTGTTCTTCCACGATTGAGTCGCATCCGAACCATGGCTTTGTAACACCACGAATCACGAACAGATTATAATTGTCTGGTGACATAGACGCTTAAACCAGTACTAAAGTCTTCTCATTGATCGATAGTGGGATACCCAACCCATCAGAACCCCAACCAAATTCAAACGAGAACGAACCTGACTGAGATTTCGGGTTCTGCTCTGTCTTGTAAATCCGACTCCTGAAACGCCTCGCTAACGTCGCATTGCATCACAAATTATTTGTTGGAATGGAAGAGAATTTGACATCGGAGTCTAGGTCTCCTTTCAGAGAAAATCAGGGGCTCCCTGGTAATTAAACGAGAGCGACGATCTGTCGATGGAAGATGTTCCCTACTAATACACATTAATATTACACGCAGAGCATTCTCTAGATACAAAATGAAGATTGCCACAGGACTAAACACCAATACTAGCGAGATTTGAGCCACGATGGACGATAAAGCTGCGTGGCATACGCACCGATGAATAACTTTCTTTTGACCAGAAAACCGGATGACTTCTCGCTTCTCCAAAATGTACAACGTTCTCTCAAGGGCATGGCTGGTGTACCCTTGTTGTGTAACGAATTCCTTGCTAAGGGTAGAATACGTTGTCGTCCATCCGAGAGGGAGCCGTCGGCGGATATCGCGTTCGATACGACTCATTTCTTCATTTAGCTCTCCTCGCGATAGGCCGTCCGCGGAGCCAGCTGCGACAGCGTCCATAGTAGAGAACTTGAACAGCCGTATCGCTTCTTCAACATGATGGTTTTTGACAGTTGAGGAAAGAGTCAGCTTTGCCAGGGACTCGGATATCCGAATGATGGCTTCCAATTGACTAGGGGATACATGACTCAGGTGTAACTCGTTTGCATACCCTAGTGTACTTACCGAACAGTGATGGGAATCGAACTTCGTTCGTTGTTGTCTTGTTCAACTTGTTGCACCTGTTTTCTCAAGCTGACGAAGTGACTGCTAAGCATCTCCTGAGCCTCCGCAGAAAGCCGGGGTGCGCATTTGCTGATGGAAAGGATCAGTCGATACAGATCAAGTGACGGTGATAATACGTTCTTTACCTCTTGCAGTAGGCGATATATTTCTTCATCTTATCGAGCGGTATCTCTCCTTCATTCTGAGTGCCATCATCGTCTGCCTGATTTTGTCTGTTCATATGAATGTTCATGACATGCTTAGCTATAAGCTACGAAAGAATTAGACCAATTAGAGGTGATGGCTTCAGAAGGGTGACATACTTTATCTCGTTGTTCGTTATGTTCATCTTTGACAATGAATATCATGTCAAATCGGGACAGAATCGTAGTTTGGAAATCAATGTTCTAAAGGTAATGTTAGAGATCTCACAACATGCACATAGTGATTGATATTTACCTCGCCGGGACTGCGCCCTTCGTCATAGCGACCAAAGACAGGGTTTGCCGCAGCAAGTACACTTGTTCGTGAATTAAGAACCGTCGTGATCCCTGCTTTAGCAATAGATATAGTCTGTTGTTCCATAGCTTCGTGAATGGCAACACGATCTTCGTCTCTCATTTTGTCAAACTCGTCAATACAGACGACGCCTGTGTCTGCCAACACCATTGCTCCTCCTTCCAGGTAGAATTCACGCTGTCAATGTTCGTCAGCGTACCATATACGGGATGGTGTAAAGTGTAGTCTTACTGATACGGCATCGCGCTGTACGGAAGCAGTCAAACCAGCTGCGCTGGAGCCTTTCCCTGAGGTATAGACTGCGATAGGTGCGACCTGAGAGATGATGTTAGTTGAAGTGAATGAGAGTACGCAGTGGACCTGCCGTACCTTCTCAACGAACTTCAGTAGTTGGGACTTTGCAGTACCAGGGTCACCCAACAGAAGAACGTTAATATCTCCACGAAGTCTCATTCCATCAGGTAGAACTTTCTTCGAACCACCAAACAATAGACATGTAATCGCCTTCTTGATGTCTACACTACACCGTCAGGGAAGACAAAGGGTGATTTGTTAAAACTTACCAAGGCTTCCGTAAATGCTAGGCGCAACGCTTCTGGAAAATCGTTCATAGAACCCGTCACTCCTTGCCATCTCGGAGAATTCTTCCTCTTCCTCCGGGGAAAACTGTACACCAAATGGATTCGTTCCAGCACCTCCTGCTGATGCGAGCTCCATATGAATGACACGCAGATAAGGTTGTCGCAGAGCAGCGGGCCCGGCATTTTTCTGTAAGAGGTTACATTATGATTGCATCCCAGCTCAAGAAGCCCACGCACGTTCTTCGCAGACTGAAAAGTCGAATATACACCAGTAGTGATGATCCTCGAACCCGGTACGACCTTACCGGTGAGGTATCTATCCATAGAAAGCAGCATATGACGAGGCAGCTCTCCAACAGGGACCATGTCGGGTGCTTCTTGTAACTTCAGGGTTTGCTGATCCGTGAATGTGGATTTTTGGTGGATGATAATGTATGGATCCATTGGGCAAGAGTTGGATTCGCCACCGGCAGGGGTAGCATCGCACCTTCTTGGCAGGCCTTTTTCCGAACCCGAGCCAAGCCCACCCAGACCACCTTGTGGGTATATGAATTTGTAGGAATGACAATTGTGGCACTGGAGGACGAGCTTTGTTGCGCGAGAGGACAGAACCGATGCGGAAATGACAATGCCGGGTATGCGAACTAGTTTGTTCATGGTGTTGGCGGTGAGATCACGAAATGGTAGCATATTGAGTCCAGTTTGAAGGGTTATCTGGATCTTGGGAATAGACGAGGAGGAAGCGTCTTCACCCTCCTCCGACCCACCAAGAGGGTACAATATCGAACGAGCAGCGCGGGTAGCCGCATTCTCAAACTTGGTAAAGTATTCTCAGTAGAGTTCCATAGAATATACGCGTGCACTCACCAGTGGTAGGACATCGGCAGGTCGGTCCTGAATGGCGAAGGCCAGTTCTTCATTAAACAATCCAACATGGCGAAGATCAACCTCCAGGAGATACTGCTTGAGAAGTAAATTTGCTCTCAGCTTGTCCCTATCGAAAATTAGCCAGTTATTGCTGACCGCTATCCTATATCATACCTATAGATGAATTCTCCTCCAACACGGTACGATTGCAGAAACTCGAGTAGCAATTTTTCGGCCTCCGATCTCGAGTCGAGTGTTGTTGCTGCTGGTACATCATGCACAGCTATATTATACACGCGATTAGCATCAAACCCAGACATCGTTGGTTGCGGGTGGAGGCGGTAGGCACGATGAGTCGAAAGGAACGCGATGTGTATCCGACGCGTCAAGATCGCTGGGAATAATGAGGTTTAGGGCCGGTCCAAGCGCGTAAGGTTGCCCCCGCTCATCCACACAAGTCCACTACTCCAAACACGCAGCTACTCTCTGGAGGAAGATGTCCACCCTTTTGCTGCAGAGATGACGATAACACACTAACTTTCGTCCTGTCTATTCCTTGTCTTTGTCGACCCCTTGTTTTTTATGTGATAACGAAAACTCGACTTTCTGGCATGTTATCTCATTCTCGGTAACTAAATCACAAGTAACCCTGCGCATTCCGGAGCTCACTGAAGATCTAATCTATTCCCCGCATCGGAACGGACAAGTAAATTTGGGATTTCTGTGGACTTTGCTCGTCGATTCTGAGTCCTCCTCAATTGGGCAAAGCCTTACCAAGGATATCATGCATCACAACATCCTCTCTCCCATCCACCCTCTCACTCGCGACGTTCCTCCCTCCATATGAATTTACTTACCCCGTTCCGAATACTTCATCGATAGAAATAAGGTTATCGCTCTCACACACCTGTGCACTTCTCGCTCTCGTAACTCAGCGGGATGTACACTGCAACACTGGTATTTAAATTATCAACCTTTACAACACGATGCTCGCAGGCATAAAGACAATACACTGCAATTTCAGAGTGGAGTCCGAGTGGTCATTTTTCTCGGCCCCTTGTTCCAACGCCTCGGAATTGGACCGGCGACTGCGGACAGTCCCATTGTCTCGCCCAGTAGCAGTTAATGTTGTTTTTAAACCATATTACTGGCGAAGGAACCTGCAACCCACGACGGATGCATGTCGAGCTCCTCTTGTGCGCAGAAAGAGGGGTCCGTTTCTTTGTGAAAAGATACCAGCATGCAATGTATTTCCTAGAGAGTACATTGTTTATGCAGCCCCCCATACCAGACACTGCATGGGAAATACACCCTACATCTAGCTGGTCCGGGTAAGGACGAAACGCCCGATCAGAGCAGTTCATTGGCACGCCCTCTGCACCACACATGCTTCCGTTCCTCGATGTACTCGAGCTCGCTAATCTTGAAGCGACCATGTTATTCCCCGGTCGAGATCTCATTCCCGAGAATCTAATACGTGAGCTGGAAGAAGCTTATGCAGGCTTCTGAACGTTATCCCAACTCGGGGTCGATCGGACAGTATCGAAGTGGTGCTTTGGGTGACAATCCTCGTGAAGGGTCTCGTCTTGAGGATGGAGTACGGCAGCTGCCGAGGCAGGCTTTGTAGTCACATTCGGTATGAGGCGACTCATTCAGTACTTTGTGTGCGGCATGAAGGCATCTTTTCATGGGGTTGGGGTAGCTGCTCCGCGATCAGTGCCTAGTGACCGCGATGACGGACTTGAATACTCGTTTTTGGGTGAGGACTAACAGTGGGGCACAAAAAATGCGTTAGGGAACTTTAAAGCCCACCGCGGGACTCGAACCCGCAACTTTCAGATGAACATCCGCGTAAGCGTAAAAGTCTGACGCTCTGACCAATTGAGCTAGGCGGGCTTATGGCGAGAATATTATTGAGCCAGCATAGATATGAGTGCGTGCACTGCCCTACTGGCGACGCCCGCGTCCGAGGATGGTTGTCAACGAGATCATTCTAGTTTGTGATGAAGGCAGTGTTCGATTACAAAGGGGTTGGGTGGACAAACGTGGAGTTTACCTGATTATAGCAATCGACTCTAGCGAGCTCCAGAGGTTCCAAGAGAGATGGTGAATCCTGTCACTCGTCCCCATCTTCGGGTACCATACTACATGAGTTCAGATCGCCACTACAACACATGTTCTTGCATAAGGCTCGTTGATCTGAAACAGAACTTTGTATTGAGAAGGGTGCACAACACGCATGGAGTTACCTGCCAGGACGCCCACGGCGGAGGGGAAATACCTCCGTGGGAAACGGCAACATGACGTGGACCTGAGATACCATCCGCTTACGTAAATGCGCAGCACTCGTATATGGGAGGCCATTTTGATCTGGTTCGCAGGGAATCCACAGCTCTCCTCCCAACCACCATCTTAACCCTCCTGACTCGCATTCTTCATTACCTTCCGCAGCCAAATGTCGGACTCCTCGCTGTATACAGCAGGCTTCGAGTCATACACTATGTTCGACTACTCTAAGCAACCCGGTTTTGACTTCCTATCCCAGAGCACGGATGCCTTGCCTTCACACCCAGACGTGGGTGAATTCGAATCCGAGATTGATTCTACTCTCGCGGGATTCGAGGGCACGGAGCCTCTCCAAATTCTTGTCCAGAATGATTACTCTTTCATCAGACCCGGTCTGACCTCATGCGGACCTCTCTCCGCGTTTACGGAATCGGCTTATGAGTCTTCGTCTACCCGCTCCGAATCTGCCTATAATCCCCCATCTCCCAACTCTGGTTCCACGTACTCTTACGCTGGTTCCTCTTACTCGTCCGCATACGATCTCGAGAATATGGCCTTGGATTTCCAACACGGAGTCTGCGTCGATGACTACACCACGCAGTCTGGCATCGGCGTCAATGACTCAGTCGACCCTACCTCCTTCGGTGCCTTACCACCGACTCCACCTCGCAGCCCTCCCGCTGCCATCTCTGCGGGCAAGGCGTACAGAACCAGCTATCCTGACTACTGCCCTCCTAGGCGTAGCTCAATGACCGAATTATACCCGCAAATAACATTTAACACTGCGCCCATCGGTGGTCATTCCACCGTCTCCCCCATCAACATCTCTGCCCAGCTACCTCAGGTTCAACAACCTATGCTTCAATCTCGCGCAATGGTCGACGCCCAGAAGGTCGATCCCAGGAAGAAGTACAAGTGCTCGCACTGCCCCCGAGGTAATGTGCCTTGTCTCATCGTTGTTCCCTTAATCTCACTCCTAATTTTCTAGCTTTTGCCCGAGCCTATAACCTCAAGACACACAAGGCAACCCACGACCCTAACCGCTTGAAGCCACACGTCTGCCCTCACCGCACTTGCGGTAGGTCATTCAGCCGTAAACATGATCTGGGCCGCCACCTCGTCAGCATTCATCGCGACGATGCGCCCCTCAACACCCCGGCTTCCCCTGGTAAGAAGCCCATTGGCGTCGAGAGAGGGTCCCGAACCTGGTGTGACAACTGCGGCAAGAGTTGGGTCGGCCGCAGCACCCCTTGCGACTGCCACGATGTCAAGTAAAGAGACGCTGGTCTGCGCAGCTCCGATATGTTTCCGTATGTTACTAAGCCTTTCATCTGCAACCGATGACTTATTTATCACACAGGCATTATGCTATTCTTCTTTGGGTCTGTCAGTACTCGTCTCTGTGCTCCGGCATCGACAACTGCGTCTCAAAATGCTGCCGGTCGTGCACATACACTGTATCACGTTTCGTACCGCCCTGTGATAGTCACTTGGCCCCGCGACGATCGTGATCGTGATATGCTCCCCTCTCCTATGTCGTCCGCCTTTCTATCGTGTTATCTGAACCTGTTATCTTTCGCGGTGTAACTACTACTGATTGGATTGGATGAACTTTTTTCTTTCACAAATCTTCGTAGCGACGACATTTCTGTGATGAATTCTCATGTACTGAACATTCTCGCCTCTCTCTGCTTTCCCCTCCTTTCCCCTTCCATTCCTCCCCCTCTTGTCCCTGTATTCTATATAAAGTCCAATATACATTTCGCTTCTCTTCAGATACAACGAACCAAATGTACTACCTGATTTACATACAAATTTCATCCCAATCTTGAATACCAAGTATACAAAATGCTATCCCAATAGGGTGTAGAGTACTCACCAGTCAAAGTCAGGGTTGACTTCTCCATCGTCCACCACCAACATAACGATTGCATATGCATTGGCAACGACAACAACACACCAGATGGCGTAGGCCAGACAAGTTACGACCTTATGGCTGCGAAAATCCAGGAAAGCATCCGCTGTTCTCACGTGTGTTTCGTTTATTTTCTCAGTATCTTCTAATGGGAAGACTCGAGTAGCGACGGACTCCGGGTGTCGGTCATGAGTCACAGGTGAAGGCGGACCATCTTCTGTTCCATTGCTCGCTTCCCTTGGCGGCACGGTATCAGGCTTCCGTACGCGCATCACCTTCTCCGTGCTCGTGAGATAAATCAGGGGGAATGCAACGAACGGGAGCACGATTGATAATACGACTTGAGAAGCGACGAGAAGTGTGTCGATGCCCGCTCGGCCTACGGCGATAGCGACAACCACGGAAGGGACTAGACTGATCAATCTCGTTATCAGTCTTCGTAGGAAAGGCTAGTAGTTGATGCATCATGAGTTATTGGATGTGATACAAACCGTTAGTGATCGTTGCCACACTCACAGGCATTCGCCACTCTATGAATCCTTCTGAGACGAGTTGACCCGCAAGTGTCACTGTTATGCTCGACGTCTGCCCGGCACAAACTAGTGCCAACGCAAATACCAATGCGGCGCCTGGAACATGGAATGAATTCGGTTAGTTACCTTAGCGATAGTCTAATTTGGTTTCAACAACTTACCTGACCCGATTCGAGACTTGATTAGATCATGAGCGTCAAAGAGTCCCGCAGAGATCTTGTTCTCTTGCTCAGGCCCGGTATAGAATACGGTTGCTGCGATGATTAGAATGCTAGGAACAACGGAACGTCTTGAATGTTAGAAACACTGTCGCCCAAGAGCAACCAAAAGTACTTACGCCGAGTTAATCGGGACGGCAAGAAATAAGAGACTAGTGACAACGTCCACGACGCCATGTGTCAAGTGTTGCCGAATGAATGTGAGGGAATTGTTTTCTCGCTCTTCATGAGGGCCCCGATGATTCCGGCCTGCATCAGCTCTCTCAGCACGAGAGATGTTGAACACTGATCTAAAGCACCGCCGGATCCAAACTGAGAAGCCACCTTCGGCTGGGCTGCCCACGGCATCCATTGTAATGGGAGCAACTGAAACACGGTCCTGAGTAGCTAAGGACGACCCCAAAAATAAAGCATGTGGCATCACGGTCGCGCCCAATATGCCGACAGCTGTGAGGTATCCGTCAGCAGCCTTGAAACGTCAAATCGTACAAAATAGCTCACCAGCATACACTGCATCTGGTTGTGACCTGACTAAGTTTTTATCGGGGATATACCCCATGAAAACATCCCCCCAGTTCGGCTTTGCCCGGACGAGCAAAGCGACAAAACAGGCAAAGACTGTGAGCACCTAATCTGGCTTCAGCGATACATAACACTGGTTATTTGGGGAAAGCGTGTACCAGGCCAACGATTATCAGTTCGAAGGTCTTCACTGGGCGACCCTGACCTTTGTAGGGGTCACTGATTGCCAGAAAAACGAGAACATCGGCTGCAGTGAGTAGAACACCTGCATACAATGGCAATTTTGGAAAGATGAGACAGAAACCTATAGCGGAGCCTAGGAGTTCCGCCAAGTCGGTAGAGATGATAGCAATTTCGGATAAGACATATAATGGATAAAGGACGAGCCACCTAACGAGACGTGGCCGTCGCGTCCGATTGTGCAGGAGAAGACGGCAGTGAGAAGCAAGATCTGCGATTGATATCATATCATCATAAGTATTCCAATACGTTCTACCGCGGTTTATGCATACCAAGACCTGTCACACAACCCAGTCTTGTAGCAAGGGTCTGCCAAAGAAAAAATAGATAAAAATCGAGATTATTAGCCCCAGAAGCTTGGAGGCCCACCTGAAGCACGATTGCACCGAGACCTGCCATTAAAATCACGAAAAGCATTGGTCGGTATCCAAAACTAGAGCCAGCTTGTAAGTCGACGCTCCAGTTTCCTCTACAGACCTATGTTATTTGACCGAACGAAGTACCAAGAAATAAGGTTACATACGGGTCAAAATATGCGACAGCGCATATAATACCGACTCCGACATGCTTCCGAAGGTGGTGGATTGTAGCAGAAAAGCCTTGGAGAACGCATTTTCCAGCTCCACGAGCAAGATTACACAGACCGCTTTTCGGAGGGCGTTGCGGTCTAACAGGTGCGGAAAGAGTTTGTGGCATGACAGGGTATGCGCCAAGCCGCTGCAGACGAAAAGAGCCATATTGAAGGACCAGAAACCCAGGGGAGCGGATAGATACAAGGGACTGGAACGGTAGTGAGAACAAATGCCATTATGACTTCCCGTGCGAAAAGCAGAGAGGGAATTCTTTCTCTATTTGCAGACCGGGTAGCCACGCGGGGTCATCGGTATCAGATCCGCTGCCCTGGGACGCGCCTTGGCTCCTACCAACTACTATGGACGTCAATGACCTTCACCCCCCAGATGACTACAGTCATCGGTTCTTCATATGGCACGAATGGATACAGGTCAGTTACCAGATGTATCCTGATTCCGTCAGACCACCTTACGGCTTTGTAGGCAAACGGTCCACTCGTGACCGAGAATGTATTCGATTACTTTGCAACGTCCATGTTTTACGACAAACAGAGCAACAACCAGGTACTCAGGATGCAGACGATGCACACCGGCATTCCGATTGCCAATG